ATGCGTTCGTTCAACCATTCATTTTTGCGTACATTCATTCATTCGAGTTAAACTTATAAGTTTGGATAAGAATCTGAATATTTCTCGAGAGCTCGTTTTTAAAAAATAATTGCGTGTTGAATTGCTGGAAAAGCGCGCTAACGACTTCATTATCCAACTGATTCAAACTATTATTATTCTTCATAATTATTTGCAAATTCGTTCAAATTTAAATTTCCAAACTTATTGATAGCAGCCAAACTTATATTTTCACCTTACTTTTGTTCAACACGAATACTCATAAAATAATTATTAAACCCATTAGAACATTTTTCCAAATTTTTCTTTTTTCAAACAAGTGCGTTAAATAATTTTTTAAGAGTAGGTTTTTCATTTTAACACTCAGAAGCGTGGCCAGTGAAGAGTTGTAAGACAGAAATCCTCCAAACAGCAAACATTTGTGTTAAAATTAACTTTAACTAAATATCTCTGTAAATTTTATGAATGCTGGTTTAAAATTGTTGCAGATTTTTTAAAAATAGTAAGTTTTACTAAATTTAAATTAAAAAAAAATAGAAATCGATATAAAATGCAGAAAAAAAGGGGTATAAGCAAAAAGGTCGTTAACTTTCTAAAAAAAAAACTCCAGCCTCCAACAGAAAAAGATCCGGTAACGACGCTTTTAATATTCTTCATTGTTACAGCCAAACTCTGCATTTCAATGTTTTCTTTTTAAATTTATATTTCAGTATAACAGCTCTTACTCTTTTCACAAAACTTTGCAACATTATATTTTCATTTACACTTTCGGAAAATGTTTTTAATTCATTTCATCATTGAGACATAATGACTCAACTCAGCTGCATTTGCTCAGAAAGATCAGAAATGTTCAGCAATAAATAACTCTAAATTTCATTTTGTTAATGTTATTAGCATTAAGTTGTTGTTAATATTATTAATACGGTTGCTGAGAAATAAAAATTAATTGAAAAATTCTTACAAAACAACTCAAATCTAATTCATTAAAAAAAACTCACTGAGGCGGTCCAGTCTAGAGAGCAAGCTTGGTGTTAAAGTGAAATTTTTCAGTGGAGGAGTCGATGAAAATATCGGGGTAGTTGTTGAAATTATGTTGCTTGTTGCTGCTGCTGTGCTGGTCAACTGTTTCCTGTCATCACCATCAACATAAACTTCTTGTCGTTTCGTTCGTCTCTGCCATCCATGTCCAATCCTAAAAAATCTTCTGTAAAAATTTTTCGTCACATCGGACTGCTGCTGCTGATTCAAATTATTCATTAACTTTTTTGGCGTTGAAAAACAAAATCTACAGTTAGGTTTGGGAAATTTTATTTTTGGATTTGCTGCATTTCGATCATCTTCAATGGTACTGAATTGTTTCCTTACAATGTCGTCAACACGTTCCGACCTGGCTTCATCCAATCCAGGTCCAGCATCTTCACCACCTACACGTGCATCTGTTAGAAGAAAAATCACACTTTTTATTTCAATCACATACCGGCATTTATGTATTATTCTTTATTTAATTTTTTTATCGCAATCAAATTCTGCTTGACGGCGAAACGTGCGAAACTTAAAAATGAAAATTGATGGACTTGTATGGTGAGAAATAGAAAGGAATAAAACTCAAATGCATAATAAAAGCAATAAGCACAACCCACAGACAAAAATGAATGATAATTTGATTCAGATATAAAAATGTTCTTAAATATAAATGCTGTCAATTTTGATTGTATTATTTAAACCAAGATTGGAAAAAAATATACTCAAATACTCAGACATTCATCATCATTAAGATGTCTCCTTTCGTTTTCTTCTCATGCCTTTATAGTGTGAATATACTTGTGGAAAAAATTGAATTAAATAATAATTGGATTGAATGATACTGTATCAAGCCAGCCGGAAACATAAAAATGATATACTTATTGAATAATCATCTTAATAACGTAGCCACTGCACTAACACACAATAAAAACATCTGTCTTCCATCTCAACATTCTTCAATATAGTCAGTCAGTGGAAGACTGAAATGTCCCTTAGAATGCGCATGTTATGGACTGTAAATGAATGGCTGGATGAGGTTTGGCTTATATTAGCCAGCTAAACAAATACTCCCATTCGTCAGCATTCATCATCATTTACTGAACATCATTTACAAATTGGCTTGTTAGGAGATGGTCTGGCAAAATGTCCGACTTGCAGTAATAAACCTGCTGTTTCTGCTTCTCCTCTTGTGTTTTGTCTACCTTCCAATTGGCAATTTGAACTAAAATTTTACGCGTAATGAAGAATTGTTGTTTAATGATGATTAAAATTAGTAGTAATAATAAACTAGAAAGGTTGTTGTGAATGATTTTCAAGTAGTCATAACAAGTTATGAAAGAAACTTGCATGGCTAATGTTTAAATTTACACGCCAAATAAATTGATGATATTTTAATTGCATCAAGATTTGTGGCGATGAGACATCATTGTTGAATGTAGAAGCATGTATCAACTGTTTCATCTAAAATATTGATTATTTTACAATTTTTCCAGACGTGAATATAATGAAAAGTTTAAATGAAAAATAAAGAAAAAAGTCACACATTTGAAACGAATGGACTCTATTATGGATGGATTTCACCGCTGTCCAGCAGCTGTTAGGTGGAAAGCTTTCCAACGTCACATGACGAAGAACAGACTAGGACTGATTGAATATATATCAAGGTACAAAGTTTAGGTTGAATACTTACATAAGTTAGAAAGTAGTAGTTGTTGTGGTAGTATTTGTAGTAATAGTAGTAGTAGTAATAGCAGTAGTAGTAGTAGCAGTAGTAGTAGTAGTAGTAGTAGTAGTAGTAGTTGTTGTTGTTGTAGTAGTATTAGTAGTAGTAGTAGTAGTATTAGTAGTAGTAGTAGCAGTAGCAGTAGTAGTAATAGTAATGGTAGAAGTAGTATTAGTAGTAGTAGTAGTAGCAATTGTAAGATAACGTAAACAAAACTTTTTTTAGTAAATGTAAAAAAACACGGAAAAGTAATAATATGGAGACATAAGTTTGAAAAAATGTTTATGTTTATCTGGCAGTTGTGCGGGCGGATTAACGTGTCAGACGTGGTCTTCATTTGCCTGTCCGTCAGTACGATCAATGTCCAAGTCCATCTTATTATATCTGGCCTGCTGTTTTGCACTATTTAGAGAAAAATGTACATATGCATATCATATAGCTATTTAATGATTTATCACTTTCATTCTAGCTAGAATGTACGTTAAGTTTATTTAAAAATTGTCATATAAATTCACACAAAATAAAAGGAAGCTGATCAGGAATTTTAATTTATTAAATACTTGAAACTGAATAAACTATCATGTCTTTGGTGTATTTATAACAGTTAACTAAATAATGTTTTGTAATAGTTTATTTTTGATGTTTTTTGTTCAAACATAAAAAAGATAACATATAATGAAATATTGATTAAGCGACAATAATGTCAAACCAGTTTACAATTTTGTACTGGTTCTCAACTCAACGCGTTAATTTGTGCCAAGAAGTTGTATTGTAACAATGGCAACTTTTGTGACTGCAAAAGAGTTACATGAGCAAATAATCTGGATGAACGATTGACAAAACATTATTTCTTTCCCATGAGAGGCCTCATTATAAAACAAACTGCTGCAAATCTTTTGCCCTAAGGATAATTAGCTCACCAGTTTTGAGTAGCATTGTACGAAAAAGTTTGACGCAAAATTTGAACCAACAAGAAGTTTCTAATTGTACTCGTCTGGTTCAAGTAGCGTATGCATATTTGTATGCTACTTTTGGTGGCAACATAAAAAATAGATGTTTTTTTGGGTGTATATGTATACAAGTATACAAATGAATTTATTGCGTGAATATTGTATGCATGTATATATGTTATTAACATTATAGAAATAACATTGAGCATTGAACGTTCTTATTACCTCAGGTTGTAAATGTGATACAGATATCAAAAGAAGGATAGCTATGGCGAAAGATGCATATTCTAAAATGATATACGTCCTCAAAAATAGTAAAATCAGAATATCAACAAAATTAAAACTGTTTGATTGTTACACTTTTTCTTACTAACTAACTTACGGCTCAGAGTCCTGAACAATTTCTAAAAAAATCAAAAAAAGATTAACGCTGCAGAGATGTGGTTTTTGAGAAGAATTATAAAAATTAGTTGGACCTCTCATACTTTGAATGAGGATGCTTTTAAACAGTCCGGTTAGGAAGAGAAAATTAGTACAGATAATCCAACGGGAGCACTTAAAGTTTTTTGATCACAATCATGCGGAAAGAAAGAATGGAAAATTTAACAACTACTGGAAAGATTGCAGGGAAAAGAGATCGCAGTCAACAACGAATAACATTCGTGAAGTCCTTGTGTCACTTGTTGAATATCACCACATTTCAACCACTACAAAGTGTTAAAGATCGGGTTTTGTGGAGGTCAATGGTCGCCAATGTCCTAAAAGGATAAGGCACGAGAAAGAAAGAAAGCTTCTTATTAGGAACAACACAAAACACACAGTTTACGACAATTTATTTTACAAAATGTTTTTGTAAATCAATAAAGTTATTTAATCAATAAATATTTAATTAATTATATATAAATTAATTAATTAATTATGTAAATAACGTTAATGTTGAATTAAACGACCTACCTGTCCTTCGTAACATTAACATCGTTGTTGTTGTTGCTGTCATGGGTGTAGATGTTGTTGGGAGTTCTGTTGATGTTTTTGTGGAAATTGTTGTTGTTGTTGTTGCTGTTGCTGCTATTGTTGTTGTTGCTATGAATAATGATGTGTAAGATAGTGATGACGACGACGATGATGATAATAATGATGATGACGATGATGCAGATGTTAATGATGACGTTGATGATGATGCAGGTTTTGTTGCTAACGCAGCATTTGATAGAAAAGAAGATGCAGCTTCTCCAGCTTGTATCAAGGAAGTTGGTGTGGTCAAGTAAATGCTGGACGTCAAGTGAATGGTCGTCGTGCGAGATGAAAATGTGTCTGTGGCCAGCTTTGTCGATGTTGTCGCAGAAGTTGTTGTAGATGCAGCTATCAATATTGATGTAGTTGCGGTAGCTTTTGTAGTTGCAGCAGCTGTTGAAGTGGCAGATATTATGGTCAGAATGGTTAACATAATAAACGATAAAATTGTTAATTGTGAAGCAATCGAAGAAAATGATGAAGTTGTGAGGAAGCCTGATGTGACGACTGATGCGGTTAGTCTGGTCAATGATAGAACCATTTCAATGGCCGTAGAAAATATTTGCATTTCTGCGCTCGAAGTTATCAAAGGCGTGCAAGTTGAGTTGAAAAATACTGCTGCATCGATTGGTATTATGCTGTTCAATGTTTCTGTTGTTGTTGCGCTTGTCAGTCTGGTCGTTGTTGTTGATGTTGTGTCTGTTGAATTCGTGGTAGCTGAGTTTGTTAATGGCAAGTTTGTAGTCAGAACTTTTGATGGTGTGTCTATTGAAAGCAGTCTACATGACATTATCTCCGGAAGTGATGATGTATCCAATGGATTGGATTTTGATGCTGCGGTTGAAAAACATTAGAACTTTTTTAAAGGCAACTCGGAAATTGCGTTTGTGAATATTTATTTAGTCTTTTTGTGCACCTTTTTCGTTTGGCTTGGAACTTTTCTTTCCACATTTCATAACTACCAACTGAGAATAAATTATTTCGTTTGTTCTGGGCGCAGCAAAATGAATGCTCTTCATAACTGCAAAGAATGACTGTCAGATCTGGAGTTCCTTCTAATTTTTCTCTTTTATTTTCAGGCCTTGATTCTTGCACTGAGAAATATTGCGATTGTTGCTTGGTCAAATGTTATTTATTGTTTATAAATATTAACTGTCGTATATTCTGTTTATATCTTTAGTGTCACGCGCTCTTCAAATCTACAATGTTTTTTTAGTAATTAAAGTGTTGGAGTATATTCAGAAAAAATTTTATAAAATCCAATACGGACTTTCAGTGAATAAATCCATATTTTAGTGCTGTTAACATGCTGTTGACGATATTGATACTCAGTCAAATAATTATTTAAAACTAAAATTCTAAAAATTATTTTGACTAGTTGAAAAGAGTGAACTGATATATTTTATAAATAAATGAGTCAAACTTTTAGAGATGCAGTAAAATCTTTCGAATCGTTAGTTTGTTTGCGATTGATTGGGTATAGCAGATGTCTTTCATTTATTTATTTATAAGTTGCCCATCTATCACAAACGCGATAAGTTTGCCTGGAGAACGTGAAAATTACACATGATTAATGATGGGAGCACTCGGTTGGCTCTTCGTAAATAATGGGGAAAGAAGTAGTGCCCTTCCAAATAGCATCACACCTCCAAACTTCATGTCTGTTGCATCTGTGCTGCGGATGGAAGCAATATTTTTATTTGAGAAAAACAATAAAAAAAAACTTGATAAAAACAACATTAACAACTATGATATAGTAACTAAGTTGATGTTTTAAGAAACATTTAGTGACAATCTTTCAGAAAAATGTTGGCTGTGTTCGGTTGATGGCAATCAACTGACGCTTGGATTTGTGTATAAGATTAATAAAAAAACACAAAAACGGTTAAATGATGTGGAATTATTCAATATGACAGTATTTTAATATTCTCCCAATATAACTTTTTCACTTTTTTTTGATTGAAGTTAAATGATAGGAGCTGACACGCAAGTTATTAATTAGTCGCTTTTCAATAATAATAATTATGAATATATATTCTATAAACTAATTAAAATAATTATATGTTAGCTGGATGTGGGCTATATATTGGCCACCGTATGTTTAGCTATCATGTGTAACATTAAGCAATGAAAGTTTAATGTAGTATTTTATTAGCCATCAAAAGTTATGTCATTTTGACCAAGAACATCTCGCAATAATTGCCTCCTTGTCAGATTATCTTTATTTCATTTTATTACTTTAAATTGGGTACTTATAAATGTGTATCTAGAAAATAGTTACATCATGAATTCAAACTTCTGTGTAACTTAGTAAACAAACTAGCTAGCATAAAAAATTCTTCAGACTCACTTATTAAGATGTACATTCAAATTATCATCTTTATTGCTACTGACGAATCTCATATCTCGCCATTCAATCCTTCCACAATTCAATCGTTCGATCGGGCAAGAAATTTTTTAAATATTTCTGTCTGTAAAGTAGATAACTGCAGTCAACATCATTTTTAATCCGTCGGGATGAAAGCTTTCATGTAAAACCTAATAAAAATATTGAAAACATGTTAGTGCTGTCGTGAAGATACATCAGATGCTAAAGCAAACGGATGATCACTGTAAATTTACTTTTCGCATAAAAATACCTCATGATGTACCCCAATGTTGAACGTGTATTTTTACTTCTTGCATAAGATTACAATTTTTGTGGTAAAACGTCGAACATGCATTACAGAATTATCAAAATACAATCTGAAACGCACATGACAGACCATAAAACAAGCTGAATGCAAGCTAACTGGGCAGCTTCACGCTGAATGCCTCAAGCAATGAATGAGGAAATATTCGTACCAAAATTAAAAATCTGTTCAAGATAAACCACGCAACACACAACACAAAACACCACACCACAACACACCACACACACCACAACACAACACACATCACCGCAACACACACACCAAACCACAACACACCACACAAACCACACCATAATACACCACAACACACCACACGACTCTCCGGACACGTCGTAGCACTTTTGAAGACAGGGCACTGTACTGCACAGCATTCTTTCAATGAAAATCTAAATAATAAATCAGACGGAGCAAAACAAACAAAAGTTTATTTCCCTCAGTTGTTCACAACAAAAAATTGAAATCTTTGTTCCGAAGTTATAAAACATTTGAACATTTTTGATAATGCAAGATTCCAAACTATTTCAATCTGTTTTTTATACAACAGAACTGAAATATTAGAATTAGGTACTAGGTCTAAAACATTTGAAAAAATGTGTGATAGGTAGATAGGTCAATATGAAATAAACTCGACTTCATTAACAAATATAAACGCTTTTTAAAACGAAGAATCCCTCAAGTGGGTTGATAGACCAAATAAATGAAAAACAATATTTGAACGGTCTGATCTCAAAAGTGAAATAACAAAACTGACATTCGCCATTCAAAAATGTTATACCGTAACACTAAAACAATCATCGATTGAATCAACGTTTCCCAATCTAACAAGCAGACTATATGTATTAACTCCGCTCACGCAAAAATGTGCACCCTAAAAGGCTTCTTACCACAATCTACTTCTTTGAAAAGAAGCTCACATACAAGCCAACCCCCCGTTTGCAATCAGCATTACATACAATGTCCACAACTTAAATACATTATTATATAAATATATGAGAATGTGAATTTTATGCATCCGCACGATCGCTAAATTAATGCAAACATCAACAAACACGTGAAAGTAAGAATGCCGTCTCCCAACACATTAAGTACATTCAACGTAGAATTGTAGGAATTCACCCTAAAACTGCTTTCACTGTATCTAAATACATATCTGTACAGTATATCATAATAAAAATAAAATGTATAATATGACTGAAAATATTTTTTCATATTTTTTTATTGTTTTTATTATTAAATTATGAATATATTATAAAAGTATGTAATATATAGCAGAAAAATTCTAGCTTACAGCTTGACCATGTACAAAATACGATCAGCAACGTTGTACATCTAGCATGAAACATATAACATAGACTGCAGAGTGTTATGATGTATACTGATATCAAGGCCGTATGTATTAATCAACATATTTTTCAATTTATAATCCCGGCGTTAACAATGCACCCACTGTTTAACATATATCATGGTTACATACGTTCGGAACATCTCGTGTTTACAGAACGTACGAGTCAGGCAACTAACAAAACACACAAATACACAAACACATCCCAAAAAAGAACAAACATACACACTAACACAAACATCTAACATTCACACACAACAAACACACAGACAAACACACATAAAGACAAACAAATCCCAACAAAGATACTAACACATACACACACACAAAAAAAACCTTAAAATCAGAACAATTTCCAGAAAAGCATCTAACAATAAGAACAAAAGAGAAGTTAACGACGAACGACTACAGCGAAAAGCAGCCGCAGTGGAGAACATTCGACTGATCTGCCGATACGTGCTCTTCAACTCTCTCAATCTCCCAACGAGTGCTCTTATTTGCGTGCCTGTCAAGTTCCTTACAACGTTAAATAATAATACTTCTTCGTCTGGTAATGTTTTTGATTTCACTGCAAATATGTTTTTTGGGATTTGTCGTTATTGTTTTGGACAAAAAAGTTAAAGTTGATTTTATAGTTTGGCTGTATTGATTTTATTGGATTCAATAATTAAAGTGTATTAGAACGTTGTATTTTGTGGTATTTTGGGTAGCTGTCATGTGTTGGTTGTATCGGATTTGATGTTTGCAATGTACATCTGACATGTTATTGAATCGGCTTTTGACGTATTCTCTCCGGGAACCAGTGACTTTTTGACCAATGAAAGAATTGTATTGTTTTCCGGCTCCAAACAAATTTCTTCACATCCATCGAGCAGAGGAAACAATGCTCGCATCTACTCAATGATTGAAAAACTGTATGCTACCATTCACGGTTTTCACTAATTCAGTGCAAAAACATTAGTAAGAAGAGTTTCAAAGTTTCAAATTTTAACTGGAGAAATTGAACTGGAGAAATTATTCAGTGACTGGTGTGTTTATTGGAAAAAGATAAACGATATACAAACATTAAAATATATATATAATTATATATATATATATATATATATATATAATGGGCTTTTAATGGACGCTATATAAATTCTCAAATAATATATATATATATATATATATATATATATATATATATATATATATATATATATATATATATATATATATTTAAGCCTATGTATATACGATATATAAACATTTATAATATTTTTTTCAAACTGCACTAAAATAAATAAATATTACATATATAATTATAAAAATGAGAAAGAAATTTTTTTAAAGAAGTTGTCGGAGGACGATCGTTCATTTAAAGAGGCGAGTGAAATGACATGAGTGACTCATTCATCACCCACATGTCCGCAACTGCAATTCAATTATTTAAACACATCACACCGGCTTAGAGTTGTTTTTTTTTAGTTTTTCTGATCATAATTATGTTATGTTTTTGTTTCAATTCAATTATTTAAACACATCACACCGGCTTAGAGTTGTTTTTTTTTAGTTTTTCTTATCATAATTATATTATGTTTTTGTTTTTGTTTTTGGGCTACAAGTTTTAAAAATTCAGGCAGGTTCTTTTGAAACAAATGTGTTATAAATGAATGCCTACAATGCCCAACAAACATTACAAAAATGTTATGTTTTTTTTTAAATTTATTTTAAACAAACGAAATTGAAAAATTTATGAGCAAACTTGTTAAACAAAAATGTTTGCCTTGTGCGATTTTCAACAGTTAGTAACTTGACGGAGTCGTTGAAGCATTTAATGGCCTAAACCAGTCTTATAGTTTAAAACAGAAAATATAAATGAGATGATAAAAATATAAATAAATCTTAATGCAAAGGAATTTTCCACGGACATATAAGCGGCAACATCTCCAGGACCATCCCGTGTTTCGCAGACTCGGATGGACCGGCAGCCATGCAAGCATCACAACATCCTCTCCTCTCCTTTCCCAATCAATCACTCGCCAGCGTCCTCCGTGTCGTCGCATCACAACAGTCCGCAGAACAACCTGCAAATCTCTAAATCAATGTTCCTCAACATCCACTTGACCCAGCGACCTTTAACCGCCTGACCCGACAACAATTTCTAAATGTCAAGATCAAGAAATATTGGTAGAAACAGTGAAAAAATTTAAAAAAAAATTTATTACGCCGGACATTGACATGAAGTTTTTCTTGGATTTGTTTTCAGCCAACGGTATCAACAAAAATTAACATGTACATTTTTTTATCTTATTCTTTTCTACATCTTTCTTAATTCTTGTACATAAAATTTAATACATTTCGTTTTAAAATATTATAAATATAATTTTCATTTATTTTAAACTTTTACTGTTCTTTGGTGGGTGTGTTTGCTAGTCTTGCTCGACCAATTAAAATGAACTGATGAAAAAGTTGCATTAAAATGTGATTCAATTTCTCTCACACCACTCACCTCAGAGTTTACAACATTTGTACCTACCTTCAAAACAACCCGTGCAAAAACTTCAAACAACTCCTGGACACTTTCCACACAATCTTCAAAAGCCGCTAAGCGACCGCAAAATGTTCTCCAACATCTTACCTTCTAATTATATAAAGTAAAATTAAAATAAAATCATTAGATATTACATATTTTCGGTAAAAATTTAAATTGTCTCAAATTGAAAATAAAAAATGAAAAGAAAAGAAGAATTTTTTTTTCTCATTATTTTATTGACGAACATCTTTCAGTTCCGTTCATTTTTAACATTTTCGATGCTTTTAATTTGTTTAAAAGTATGTTAAAAGGTCATGAACATCAAAATAAACTTCAAGATTTAAATATTTCAAGGCTCAAATTTCACGCACGATCAACAAACACATCATCATTAACTCCTGCTTAACAAGTGACCAACTCCCCAACACTTTCTACACTTATTTGCACACTATTTCATGTTGGCATGTCACCATTAAATCCTTCTAAAATATAATTTCATTTATTTGTTTTTTAATTTGCTTTTTTTGAATTGTTGAAATTATATTTTTGTTTATTTAAATTTCTGCTTGTTGATGCAATGTTAACGTCTATTTAATCTTTCGTTAATTTAATTAATCACACTTGAACTTGTTGCGAAGGCGTTTATTTACGTGCTTTTTCATTCATTCAAACTTCTTCTTTTCTGTTTCACAATGTTGGTTTGTTGTTGGTACATTATTTTATTTGTGTGTTTGATACATTATATAATTACTCATATCTATGTTTTTTTTAAAATCATGTATTCAACCATCTGTTTATTCAAATTGATTTTATATTTCTACATTTTCGTGAATTTCTTTTATATTATAGGAGGCACATAAAGCCTCAGAATGATCGTTTCGTCTGTACCTACCTTACAAAACGATCCAGCATTGAGTTCTAAATAGTAACATAGGTGAAGTTGTAAAGGACGGTGATCATTACTATTCACCCACCATAGTAAAAACCAAACCACAATAAAGTCAGAAGTGTTTGTGGAATAAAAATAAATATAAACATGAAAGTGGTTTTGAAATTTTTAAAAATAAAACTAAACATCTGGAACCCGAGTAGTTGTAACTGTTTCCACATGATAATTTGATACCGGCGCGTATGTTTATAACCAACCAAGTTTATGTTTATAACCAAGTTTATGTTTATAACCAAGTTTATGTTTATAACCAAGTTTATGTTTATAATCGTGTTTATGGTCTGGTGTCTACATGTGTATGTTCGACATTCGTCTGGAGATGAGATTATTGAAAGTTTAAAAATAGAGGCGTGAAAGTGAGTTTATCTACGAACGTATGGATGAATGAATGAGTGTACGCTGATGTTTTTGAATGTAAGTCAGTAAATGTTTTCAAAAAAATTTTTTTAACGTGATGTCGTTCCTTATATTAACTGATATTTTCATTACCAAATGCCTTATTCAATAAAATTCGACTTGATTTTAACAACTTCAAAAGCCTGAATGATATTTAGATGTTGTATAGAACTTCGAACAGTATTTCTTATCTTATATATATTATAATTTATATTGACGTTCAAAATACGCTCTCATACACAAACTTTTTTGTTGTTGAGTAGTTTTTGTTGGGCGAACAACAATCTTTTGCAGCCATGCAAGATTGTTTACATCTGATAAGTTATGCACGAGATAAAAAAAAAAACCATTAAAATTACAATGAAAAAGATATTTCATAAATTTATCTAGAATGAATTATAAAATGTTAATAAAATAATAACTTTAATTGTGTGTTTTTAAATGTAAAGAAAAAACAGGCATGATGATTCAGGCTAAAAAATAGTTATTTTGGTTTATAACAGTAAAATTTATTCACAAAAATTTTCATTTTAAAATGTCTCAATTTTTAACTAACAAAATAATAAAATAAAATTATTCATTCCATCCCAATGGAAATAATTTACATTGCTGGCATCATAAACATGTTCAAATAAAATTATGAAATGCGACTCTTCTTCTCTAGACGCTCCTAGATGTGACACATGAGTCTGAATTTGTGTTTATGTGATTTTGTGATTATGTGTAATGTACTGTACGTGATGTGGCGAGTGTGTGTTATGTATTCTATAAGAGAATATATTTTCTTGATTATTTATTACTTAATATATTATATTTACATCATTTCATTGACCACTATGTTAACGGATTATGTTAAATTTCAGTCATTTTCAACGTTTTCAACATTTCAAGAGGCACATTTCAGTTTTCCTATCTGTTGTTTTTCATTCATTTCAGTCTATTATACTATATTCTATTAAACATTGACCTCTTCAAAACCATACAACTTACGTTATGACGATTAAAACTTGGCGAACCATCCAGCATCACGATTAAAGATTGTTTCAAGAAATTTTTCTATTGCTGGCTCAGAAGTATGGAATAGTCTACCGAGCTACTTGTGACAGCATTGTCACTCTGTCAAGAATTTCAAAAAGCTGTTTAAGACTTCGATCATTGAAACTTTTTCTTGGCATAAATGGTTTAAATCACAGCTAATGAGCGTTTTCGAGGTAACAATTTAAAAAGCCTATATTAATACTAATACTATTTGGTCTACATGACGTAAATACATACACACACATGTGCACACATCACATGGCAACATATGTTACAGAAAACACACACACATACATACAAACACACTCACACATACACACACACACACACGCACACAAACACACACACACACAAACAAACACAAACACACACATATACACAATAATAACATTCAGCCCTCTGTCAATAATTTACATGAATGAATACGAAGAGAAGAGTATAAAACTGCTCCGTAACGTCGTCACAATCTTCCTTTCTTTCTCTCTACTCCATCTACTTACTACCATTTTTGCTAAAGCCCGCGCCATTGTTCAATAAAATAAACATTATATTTATTATTAACGCTGCAATAACTATCGTAACAACGAAATAACAACATCATCAGTAACGCTTAACAACTACAATGGAGGCAATAGCGATTGCGATATAACATTAACAATAATATTATTGAAATGTGCAGAAGAAATAAATGGAAACATTTCTCCACAATTTCTGCTTCCGCTGTTGTTTGTTTGTTGTTGTTTTATGTTGTTGTTTGTTGTTGTTTGTTGTTGTTGTTGTTATGCTCCTCCTACTAACGTTACCACTCATACCATCGTTGCGTTTGGACTCCAGGAATGCTTGCACGTGCATGCAGTTGCCCTTGGTTACATTTCAAATTTTATGTTTAATAATTACAAAAATGTTGTTAGGATGAGTTTGTAATCAGTTTTCAACGTTCACATTGTTTTAGTGTATAATTTTGCTGATCTATTTTATCTCAATTCAGTAATTTCTTAATTATGGAAAATTTGTTTTATTTATTTTGAATATTATTTTTTAGTGTAATAAGTTAAAATATAAAAAACAAAAATCTGTGTATATTTAGAACATTCATAACATGTTTAATGAGTTTTCAAGTTTTAAAAACAACTGCAAAATCTTTAACAAAAAAATTTCAAATTAATTCGAATTCCAGCATTATCATGCTTAACATATGAAAAATAAATAAAGACGAAATAAATAAAATTGGCAAAATTATTAGAAGCTATAAAAATGATTAAAAAACTTTATCAGTTCCAACATGATGATTTTGTTTGCGTAAAGTTTTTTTTAATTTGAAAATTTGAACGTAGTAAGTAAGAGAAGAAGCAAAGACATGACATGACTCCCTGGATAGCAATGCCACAAAGTTGTGCGTGCCATATTAGCGACAGACAGGCAGAACACGACGAAATAAAATTTGATTAATGCATGTTTTTGCATTTAATAAAAAGTTATATACATCATAAAAAATGAACATATCTCAAAAAATACACGAAAATTAATTTTTTTCGAAATATATTTGTTCAACCAAACAAAATAAAATAAAAAAAAAATAAAAAGTATTATAAAAGGAGCCTACGTTAAAAAACTAAATTGGGGAAAGACACATATACATATTAAAAAAAACTCTTCATCCATTCAATAATATAATCTAACCACAAACTCGAAAAATGCTCTTTTCAATCGATCGATCGATCATTTATACGCAGACGATCAAAATATGCGTATGTTATATGTTCTCTAGATACGAACGAACTTGAACATGTACCGCAACCGTAAATTTAAAAAAGTTATATTTTAAAAATAAAAAGGTACTTGGAGTTTCAAACAGTAAATGGAAGATGGTTGAGACGCAGTGAAACCGTTAGTAATTTTTGCTTAAGAATGCGGACAAGATGATGACTGAAAATTTGAAGCAAGTCGCGCTGAACGTTTAAAAATATCATCCTGACAAATTGCTGTCTGCTTCTGCAAAAAATAAAAAAAATATGATTATTCCGTAAGTAACAAGCATTTGAAGATCAGAAAATGATCTCTTGCTGAAGTCTTGTCGCATTAATAACATTCTTGCCATCCAACAAATTATTTCGTCTCGACATAATCAGCAAAAAACTAACCACCGAAATTTGTAAAATACGGAACATTTTCAAAGAAACATTTTCAAAGAAAATATTTTCAAATCAGTGTCATTAATCAACGTTTGGAAAAAGAAAGAATAATGACTTCGTTTAAGGTTCATTTATGAAAGATCATTTAAACTCAACCGCCATTACATTATTACGATAATATTAACATGTTATTATAAAATAATTTTTTAACCATCATTTCATTTTAACAAATAGTTATTTTAATACAAACATTAAACTCTGTCAAAAGTGCATTTGTATAAAATCCTTTTAAAGGAAATACCTATCGGCTTTTAAAAAAAAAATTAGAGAAAAATTTTTGTTTACTCGGTCAGAAGATTTTATATTCTTCCTCTGCAATTTCTGACAGGAGGAATCGTGTTTTATCTTTTAGTTTTATATCCTAGAGCGTTTCAAGATATCCAGAAGTACTATAGAAGATATCATTAACGTGAACATTCACTCTTGAAAAAGACATACAGAATATTTTTCTAACAACAAATTGCAACAAAATATGGAATATTGAAACAAATCTTAACTAACAAAAGTTGGGAGGAATGATAAAAATTTCATATGAAGATTTCATTTTTTGTTTGATTTAATTTTGATTCCTTTCCTCATTACTTAGCTATCCATTCGCTGAATCTTTTAAATTTTCACTCACATACTTAATTTCACTCATTCATTCATTCACTCATTGAAACTCCCAAAATTCAATCCCTTTGCATTTCTGACGTGCTAAGAAATGTGGGAAGAATGCACAGTACACGTGTGCACAAAGATGCATTTGTATATCTAATTTTTGATCTGTCTATTCATCAATCCTCCAATATATTCAATTCATTTATCATTCCATCCCTCTATTTATCCATCCATCCATCCATCTATTTATCCATCCATCCATCCCTCTATTTATCCATCCATCCCTCTATTTATCCATCCATCCATCCATCCATCCATCCATCCATCCATCCATCCATCCATCCATCCATCCATCCATCCATCCATCCATCCATCCATCCATCCATCCATCCATCCATCCATCCATCCATCCATCCATCCATCCATCCATCCATCCATCCATCCATCCATCCATCCATCCATCCATCCATCCATCCATCCATCCATCCATCCATCCATCCATCCATCCATCCATCCATCCATCCATCCATCCATCCATCCATCCATCCATCCATCCATCCATCCATCCATCCATCCAT